CTTACGCATGATATTGTGCTTAAAACTAGGCTAAACTTAGCATGTACTGTACACAACATTTCCGTTTTATTAAAGACAATTTAGTGCGTTGTAAACAGCCACCTGTCTGTAAAATTAATCAACTGATTCATATTTGATCAGCCTAATGATGATACAGGTTTGATTTGTAGATTTATTATCAATAATCAACATCTGAATCAAAAGATATCTGAAAAAGTGTGAGGCATACTTTGTGATGTTCATCTCTCTTTTTTTATCTGAAGGTTATGCATATGTGTTAGATACTAATGTTTTGTTGTTTTTTAACACCCACAGTTCTCTATACAATAACACAAGACCCTGTGACGATTGGCTGATTAGAGACGGATGGTGTATTTCCAGAGTTGGTGAAATGACCAAGCACACCTTCTTGGTCATATGTGGTGATAATAATGAAGGTATGTTTGATAAAGTTCTGTATTTGTTTCACAATAAGCTGAGAGGGTATTAGAGCATTAGAGAATAACAAATGACATGAAGGTGATAAGTTTTGTATTGTGGGTGAAATATTACTTAAATAATGTTTTGCTCTTTGCTCTGCACTTCTCTTCTGCTTATCCTAATAGTTAAGATTATATTTGGACCTGAAACATCTGCTAGACTCCAGGAAAGGTGGCGTCAATACTGGTCCTGAAAGGGCCCAACAAGTTGAATCTGGTAAAGAAACACGCACGCACGCTCACACACACACACACACACACACACACACACACACACGCACACGCTTACAGAAAACTGTAAGTTTATGAATATTTTTTACACTGTGGCCAGTATTTTGGGGAAGTCAGCATCACTAAATGATATAAAAGATTTTAAGCTCCTCTAAATTTTGCTCTAAGTGTTGTGTTAAATTCAGGATTCTGGACAGACAGCTGCCTGTTTTTCCAGTTCTAGTCATAGTGATTAACCTTATTGTTTTTGGAGATCCAACAGTGATGTGTGTGTTTTTTCTACTTTTCCATATCCTGTCACCTCAACCAGCTGGGAGAGTCAAGTTGTGGATCATCATGAAAATTTTCAAAAGGTGAGTTTAGATTTCTTGAATGTTTTATTTACTTTAAATGTTCTTTTAAATATTTCATAGAATTTGATTGCAATTTGTTTTCAAACATTTATCTTAGTCATGCTGGAGTCTTGAAGAGTTCTTAGATGAGCATCACCCTATATCCGTGCATCAGGAACCACCAGACGAGCGATCAGCAGCTACTACATCGTCATGGATAAAAAGGTCATCCTGTGGCTGGGAAGCACTTCATTCACAGGACATGCTTGATGAGATTTCCTAGCTCCAGTTTGTTTTCACACAAGTTTCCAGCATTTATACCTTCATTTAAACTGCTGTGTTTGATATGGAGGACCAAGGAAACACCCGAAGTGAAAGATTTGCACGCCAAGTTGTTTAAAATGTAATTTCAGAAGAAAACTATGCGTTCAGAAGAAAACTGATGAAACATCAAGTTTGGACCAAAGGACTGAAACAGCCTTTTTGAGCACTGGTCATACATATTTTGTTGATACTGTCTGTACTAATAAAACATTTAAAGCATATTTGACATTGTTGCATTTTAAAAACTGAATGAATTGTTGAAGTGGTGAATTTTTTCAAATAAAATGTTTTTTCTTTTGTAATTTACAGTCTATTTGAGTTTTTTACCATATTTACACTCAAGAGAGTTGAATAAAATAATATATTACACCAGGCGGTGTTAAATATAGTTACATTTTTTAACTCTGCCCAGAGTTAAAATTAACCCTTACTTCGGTGTCAATGTGCCAACCCTTTTGAAAGTGTTGATTTAACTCTGTTTTGAGTGGACCCCATGAGACACTTTCAAAGTGTTGAAATTAACACCCATAGAGTTGTTTTGGGTCCCCATATTTTGCTGTGTACATTTTTCTTTTAATTCAGTATCGTGACAAGTAATATAGTGAAATAATCAGATCAATAACTTGAGTTTAATAAATGGCATCTAAAACGTGTGTTTGGGAAAGAAAACGTTAGCTAGTGCCATTTCCCTTAACTTAGCTGAAAATGAGCTCTGACGTCCCTTTTTATTTTTAACATTCATTCAGAACGGACCTTCGGGTCACTTGGAAGGCGGTGAAATGATAAATTTGTGTCACTTTCTTTTCGCTGATAAGATTTACAGCCAGCGACACAACATTCCTATGTAACTCTCAATGATACTTCCGGGTGTCTTCCCACTGCAGCCTTGTTTTCGCTTTTAAAAATAGTGGTCTCGTGAAATCAGTCTATAGGATAGGTTAAAGCTCAATAAATCATTATGTCCACACAGCGTTTTCAAGTATTACTATGTGTTTTTTTTTAGCTAAATGAACAGTTTATGTGACCTCAGAATGATGTTTGAAAAAAGAATGCTCTTGTGCACACACAAAACAAAAATAATGACTTTATTCAACAGTTTCGTCTGTATATTGTGCACTGGACTGGCGCAAATCAAACCACTGGCGCATTCTTAGAGGGGTCTGGATGCCGAGCTAGTGTAATCTGAGCTGTATCCAATGCTTTTAAATGTGCTCATCTAACTTACCCTACCTCTCACAGTGACGTCACTAGCTCTGTTGATTGCATCGTGTCTGACATTGCATCACTGTTATATGCAGTTTCAGCTTGCACCAAGGCTGCATACTATTGGGCATTTTAGGTAATATGTCAGTGGCACAACCAGGTGGTGCGACCAGGTGGCTGACGTGTGAATGCGCTCCCTATACTGACACTTTTAGACGACGAGTCAGGAGACCATGATAACATTTAGAAGCTTTACTTGTGCACAGCAGACAGTTCACATACCTTTACATGATGGCTTTTTCTTTCTGCCATTACACTGTTGTACATGCATGTACAGAGCATGACAGAACATATTCTACAACCTCCTTTAACCGTGACAGTTTCTTCTTAACTAAAGATTATTGCTTAGCAAACTAAATTAAAATTTAAGTTTTTTTGAGAAATGTCTTTAAAAGGTAAACTGAGCTTAGAGAGAGGATATAACACTTTTAACGGCTCAGATTTTAAGCATTAATCAAACTTCTATACGTTTAGTATTGTTACTCAGCAACTGAGTGTTTTCTCTTTCTCATCTCAGTCCTTGTATTTGTAGGTTTGCAAAGATGACCAACTCTGGTCACGTAAGGAGTTTTGGAAAGAACTTTTGTTGAATGTGCATTAAACGGTTTCTTCTTGGTTTCTTGTGAGGTGCAATGTTCTCTGATTTCCTCTGGAATGGGATCTTCGTGTTTAGACTCGACAGAGGTGGTCTGAAACTAGGTAAGTGACATCACACTGCTCAAACGGTTGTGGTGGTGGTTCTGTGACTGGAAGAATGTGTTTTCGGTTTCGTCTGTATTCTCTTCCTTCTGATTCCACAAGATATGACCTTGGTTCGTCCAAAAGTTTTTTAAACAAGTCCAATTCGATCATGACCTTTGGAAGTTGCCAATCTCACTACTTCACCTTGCGAGAGTGGTCGAAACGCTTTACTAGATTTAAAGTTGTTATTTTTATTTAATGTGCGCAGTGTTCTTGTAGCTTGATAATATCCTGATTAAACCAATGAAGGCTGTTTTTTTGGTAGCTTTCTGGACTTGGTCTATGAAAGATGAAGGAGCTAAAACTTCACCTAAATTATCTTCATTTGTGTTCTGAAGATGAACAAAGATCACAAATGAGAGTGAGTAATTAATAACAATTTCCATCTTTGGGTGAACTAACCCTTTAACTCTTAACTCATTGAAAGTGAGTGTTACTGGAGTTTATCACAAGACTTTTTGAACATCAGTGGTTAGCACTGTTGCCTCACAGCAAAAAGGTTGCTGGTTTGAGCCTTGGCTGGATCAATTGGCGTTTCTGTATGGAGTTTGCATGTTCTCTCCATGTTCTCGTGGGTTTTCATGCGGGTACTCCAGTTTCCCCCAGTCTAAAAACATGCTTGATAGGTGAACTAAATAAACAAACTTGTCCGTAGTGTATGTGTGTGAATGAGAGTGTATGAGTACTCTCACAGTACTGAGTTGCAGATGGAAGGGCATCCGCTGTGTAAAAGTTGGCAGTTCATTCCGCTGTGGAGACCTCTGGTGAAAAAGGGACTAAGCCGAAAGAAAATGAACGAATGAATAAATGGCATTGAAGTTACCATATATGGTTATAGGGTTAATGCAAACAACTCAATACATTTATGCCAAAGTTGGCTCACGATAACCTTTAATTTGGCCCTCCATCCCATCTGAGAAGAGAAGGAGAAAGATGGGGAATTTGTTTGTTTTGATCCTTTAACAGAGATTGTCGTTTCTAATTTTACATAACTTTTGTTTTTTTAACTGTTGACCTACAAAAAAAGCAAACATAAATTAAATGTCTTAGTTAAATGTTGTGAATGAATTAGATTAAAAAAATAAATTAAATACAGTTACTTGATGGATAGCGGACATTGCAGAAGAAACCAGCAATTGAATCAAGGCAAAGTGTATTTTTTAGCGTTATAAATTAGATTTCTCATGTTTTTATTGTAAGATGTTCATTTAAAAACATACAAAATGTATAATTCTTACACAATTAAACTATTTTAAATGTAATAAATTATAGTATTAATTAAATTATATAATAAATAATAATAATAAATTAGGTAATTACAATGACAACTTAACAGTTTAGTATATTTAACTCCAGCCCACCACCCTCAATCAAGTTTATAAGATAAAGTTTGGGCACCGCTCATCAAGATGATCTGCTGAAATTCCAAGCACCTTGTTGAATCTATGCCATTGAGATTTAAAGCAGTTTGGAAGGTAAAAACAAGTATGAGAGAGTACTAAACTGTACCTAATAAAGTGGCAGGGGATTCTATATCAATTTACCTCCACACCCATATTGTCCCAGTCTTGTAAGAGCATGTATGTTTACAGCAGTCACATTCAGCTGGACTTTAAAGAAGACTAAGGACTAAGTGTTATGTAAACTTTATTATGGGATTAAACATACAGAAGCAGCAGGACTTGACATGCAGGCTCTGCATAAGAAAGTTCTCAAAAGAACAAAGGCCTGATACAGCAAAAAAACTAAATACACATTCAGTGAGAATGAAGTCGAACAAACTACTCGCTAATCAACTAAAGAGAAACATAATACTTCAGTTTCAACACTTTGAGAAACTGGGGTTCGTCTAAAATACTGAAAACACAAACGATACAAAAGCTTAGTCAAATCTTTTCCTTTATCCGTTTCCAAGTGTCATGTAACAGAACTAGATTGGCATCAAAAACATTAGCTGCAGATACTTGCTCACCCAGCACCAGTCACAAACACCCTTGTTCCCATGTGCACTATACAATGTAGCACTGTAGCAACCTCATAAATCAGGGGGTGTCCAAGCCTGCTCCTGAAGGGCTCCTGTGGGTTTTCAGCTCCATCCTTTCCCGACACACCAGCCTGGAAGTATGTAGTAATCTGGAAGACTTGATTAGCCGGTTCATGTGCGTTCAATAAAAAGCTGGAGCTAAACTCAGCAAGACAGCGGCCCACCGGGAGCAAGTTCTGTCCTCCCGTTAAAATAAATAACAGCTTAGCCGTTTGGCTTTACAGTCTGCATACAGTATGTCCTGCAGACCTCCTTTTAATGTTTAACTTAGGAATGCTTCCATACGGCCAAAAGAGCAAATCTGGGTTTGACAATATTTCTCAGATTTATGGTGATGTGCTCCCGAACGCACCTGCACGGAGAGCCTCTGAGGTGAAATTCATCTCTCTGTCGGCAGGCGATTCAAACGGACGCATAAAACAAAGCTCCCTCAGTGAACTTCTGTTGTTTTATCGGCTACTAGAACACACATTTCACGCACATCCTACTGTACATGCAGTATTGTGGAAGATTTTCCTTTGGGTATGCAACAATTTAATGATTGTACACACACACAAAGAGACTAAATAGGGTTAAATAAATTACTTTTAAATTCAATCGAATGATATGGTCGGAATTAACCATGCAGGATTTGGGGTGGAGGACTTGAAAGTGGAGAAATAAGAGGGATTGTCAATGGTGCAGCTGGAGCTGGAGGCATTTGTTGTAGTACGTGGCGGCATTTTTGTGAAAGATCCAAGCTGGCACAGGGTACCTGTGATAAGGCAAGAAGTGGGGCATATGTGAAAGTGCGTGAGGTCCTTGTAGTGGCTGTTATTATAATAAATTCAGGCTTCCCAAGGACTTCAAAAAAAAAAAAAAAAGAAGGAAGGAAGTAAGAAAGGAGGTAAAGAAAAGTCAAGGCTGAGCCTCAGCGTTGGGCTCCTTGTCGTAGATGTAGCTGCCAACACCACCAGTGTTTACACCTAGAGGTTTAAAAGAGTACATTGGTTAACAACTAGTATAACCCTTAGAGAAAGCATTCTTTATGATAAAAAAACTTAATGATACATAAGAACTATAGACCATTATGCGGGATGTAAACAATAAAAATGGTGCTAACCTATTTCCTGTATTACATTTTTAATTTCCAAAGCTTTCAAGAATCCAACAATGCCCACATATTGATAAATAATGTTATGATAGCTGTTTTAATATTAAGATATGATTAAATTACAGTTATGAAATAGTTTCACAACAAGAAATGTTCATGGGCCAGTGAAATCTCCACATTGAAATGGTCTATAGCTGGGTTGTCCAAACTCGGTCCTGGAGGGCCAGTGTCCTGTATAGTTTAGCTCCAACTTTCTTCAACACACCTTCCTGGAAGTTTCTAGTATACCTACAAAGAGCTTGATTACCTGATTCAGGTAATATGCTGGACACCGGCCTTCTAGGACTGAGTTTGGTCAACCCTGGTCTATAGTATCACTAATAATAACAATGTTAGATTTTTGTCTGAAAATGAAGCAATAGCTCCTCCTAGAGTGGAAACTCCGACATGTACCTTTTGGGCCGAAGAGGACAGCATAGCATGGTTTATGGCAGTAGGGCTGACCATCATGCTACAACACAAGACAAAAATAAATAAATACATGTCTGGAATACGTTCATGCATTAAGCTGTGTTTATTTTTTGAATATTGTAAAAATGTTCAGCTTCTTGCAGAGACAAACTGATTTGCTGCATAAGATCTTAATGTATTAAGAGTATTCATTTTTGTTTTGCCTCTATATGTACGTAGTTGTGCCAGTAGCTGTTGACTTCAACTAAACCTCTGGCTTCAACAAAAAAAAGAAAGAAAAAAAAATTTCATCGCTAATATTGTACTTAGGCCTGTCACAATATAATTTTTTAATATACGAAATATTGCACCAAAATATATTGCAATAAACAATATTATTGTCATTTTAAGACTATTTTCTGCCACTCATCATTAAAAAATGCCAGAACGACAGTATAATAGCATCACAATGCAAGCACACTATTCCAAAGAACACATCATATTTTATTCTTAAGAATATTTCATTTAATTATAGTCATTTAAATTTTAACAATTTAATTATTAGTCATTGCAATCAGAACTTAAAAACACTTAGCCAGAACAAAGAAATAATAAATGTTAACAAAAAAAGTAAGGTAAGGAGCAAGGTAAACAGAGGCTCTGATATCTGCTACCAGATCTATTTTTAGTTGTCAGACACCTACATGAAAATATACTATAGCAATTTATAGTGAATACTATAGTGTTTTAACTATACTGACACCTCCGATAGAGATAGAGAGGTTGCACAATTAGCATGTTGGTAGAATTGTTTTTCATGTATGGGCAATATACAGTTAAAGTCAGGTTTTTTTGCCCCCTTTTGATTTTTTTTTTCTTTTCTTAAATATTTCTCAAATGATGGTCAACAGAGCAAGGGAATGTCTGATAATATTTTTTTCTTCTGGAGAAAGTCTTATTTGTTTTATTTCAGCTAGAATAAAAGCAGTTTTTATTTTTTTAAAAAACCATTTTAGGGTCAATATTATTAGCCCCTTTAAGATATATTTTTCTGATAGTTTACAGAACAAACCATAGAATAACTTGCCTTATTCCCCTAATCTGCCTAGTTAACCTGATTAACCTTGTTAAGCCTTTAAATGTCACTTTAAACTGTATAGAAGTGTCTTGAAAACTATCAGGTAAAATATTATTTACTGTCATCATGGCAAAGATAAAATAAATCAGTTATTAGAAATGAGTTATTAAAACTATTATGTTTAGAAATGTGCTGAAAAAAATCTTCTCTCCGTTAAACAGAAATTGGGAAAAAAATAAACAGGGGGGCTAATAATTCTGACTTCAACTGTATATTAAATCACCAAAAATGATTGAGGTCATGTCCATGTGTTGTGCGATAAGTCGATACATTGATTATAGTGGCAGGCCTAGTTGTACTGAAGCAGAAGGAAAAAAAAAAGTTACCTTCATCTTGAATTGCCTGAAGGTAAATGAATAAATCTTTTATTTTTGGGTCTTTAATAATTTTAATGACCCACTGATGCCCTGCAGCTTATTTAAGACTTTTAATGGAAAAAATGACTCTTGATTAACTCTAAAAAAAATTTATGACACAATCATCGCCGAAATCTATTCGCTTCCGCTATAAGCAACCTAAAGATTTCTCTCACCTCTGCGTGGCTTCCTGCTGCCAGGGTCTTACTGCACCTCTCGCAGCGGAGACACGGCCGATGCCAGTCCTTCCCCAGAGACGTCACCTTCTCAGCTGCCATGGGTAAGCATGAGTATGTGTCATTACACTAGCTCGGCCACATATATGCTTCTGCATTTCCTACACTGTAAAACCCAACAGTCAACTCTATTAAATGAAATGAGGGTAGTTAACTCAAAATTGACTGTTAATTCTACTTATTTAGAAAGAGTTTTAAACTCAGCGTTGAACGTAATTAGTTAATTAAATAACTCATTACCTCAACTTAAATGAAGTTGACAGTACTCATATAGATTCGTTTTTTCAACTCAAATGGTTTGTAGCAATTTGTTTCTTCAAACAATTTGAGTTCCCTTAACTTCTTATATTTTACAGTACTCAGTTGGTTTGAGTTCTCTTTGTTTATTGGGTTTTACTGTGCACAAATTGCTTTGTTTACTCTAATGGATCAAGTTTACAGTACTCATTATGATTAGTTTTTGAACTTAAATGGTTTGTTACAATCAGTTTCCTCAAACGGTTTGAGTTACCTTAACTTTTTGGGTTTTACAGTGTATCTTAAATCCCTAAAATGGAGAAATTCATACCGAAATAGACCTTCTTGCTGCATCTGGGGCACAGGTTGGCTTCCCCAGAGAAGGTGGTGATGCTTCCAGCTGTAATGAGAGGTGCATGCAAATAAACATCAGGCATTCGGTCACAAGTCACATTATAAAACATAACACAATTGATTTGTAGCTTAAGGAATATGCTTACAACCTACAGTCGCTATATGTTGTGATTCGGCTGTTTTTTTTTTTTTTAGTTGCTAGTTTTTTAAATTGATGGCATTACTCATTTAGCCTATTTAAAGTTAAGAAGTTAGCAGCTTCTGATCGGATCCCTGCTGGTGTTTGTACCTTTCGAAGGTGGCCTTGAAGACACTGGGACCCATTTCTCCTGAGCTTTGGGCGCAGAGTCTCCGTTGTTTGGTGGTGGGGAAGTGTTTGTGGGAGCTTCGTACACATAAGAACCTGCTCCACCGATGTTCACACCTACATATTCACCAGATATTCGTGAAAATGTGCCGACATCGTGCAGATGTATGTTTTAATGCCAAAGCATTGGCTATATTCTTGGCTATAGTCATAACCGTTTCTTAATCATCATGCATAGTAAAGGAAAAACAACACTGACAAAATGATCTTTCAGTTTGATACTACTTGAGAAGACACCTTTTAAAATATTTCCTGAATATTTTAAATCATGTAAAAATATATACTCTAATAAAATATGTTTATTGTCAAAATATTATTACACAAGTTACAAATAGGTTTCTCTAACCAACTGTACATCTTGTAAGTGCCAACATGATGCAAAATTCATAATAAGAAACATTCAATAGTAAATTTTAAAAAAATGTGTCAAAAAGAATGGACAAACGCAACATTGATTAATTTTTTTCAGTAAAATTTTAATTACAGTAAACCCAATGGCTGGGTTTATCCATATTTGACCCAACGATCAGTTATGATAACCAAGCATTTTTAGAGTGTAAATTAAGATTAGGCACATAAAACGTACAATGCTTTAAAGCAATATCAATACATTATGAACAATTTTTATATTTACATTTGTTAATAAATTTACATTAATCATTATTAGTGTGTTTGCAAATAATTGCCCCTAATGCCCAGCAGAGGGCACTCTTCAATTTCATAACACAATAGTTTATGTGAACTAATTTCTCCACGTTTGTCATGCACAATTTCCTATGTCAACACAGCATATAGACATGACGAAAACATAAAATCAGACAGCTCCATCCATGACACTGTTGATGCTACATTCAACTTAATTTGGCGTCACCCAGGGTGTTCTTTGGATCTTAAAATGTCTTTCATTTCAAAAACTAAATTTTAGGCCTTAAAAAGTCTTAAATTCACAGAAATATTGTGTTGTAGGTCTTTAATAATTTTAAACAGGTTTTAATTTTAACTATGTTGAAGTTAAGATACCCAATTAACCCAACTCATCCAATCACCAACTTTATTAATTACATTTATTAGCCCCACATGTTTATTTTTTTCCCCAATTTCTGTTTAACGGAGATTTTTTCAATACATTTCTAAATATAATAGTTTCAATAACTCCTTTCTAATAACTGATTTATCTTATCTTTGCCATGATGACAGTAAATAATATTTACTAGATATTTTTTAAGACACTTTACAGCTCAAAGTGAAATTTTTAAGGCTTAACTAGGTTAACTAGGTTAACTAGGCAGGTTAGATTAATTAGGCAAGTCATTATATAATGATGGTTTGTTCTGTAGACTATCGAAAGAAAAATAACCAAAAGGGGCTGATAATTCTCACCTTAAAATGACGTTATATTCTTTTATAAATAAAAAAAAAATGTAAATCTGCTTTTATTCTAGCCAAAATAAAAAAAAGACTTTCTCCAAAAAAACAAATATTATCAGACATACTATGAAAATTTGCTCTGTTAAACATCATTTAGGAAATATTTAAAAGAGAATACAATTTTTTAAGAATAATTCTGACTTCAACTGTATCTAAATAATTTGTGTTTTTATATACATTTTTTATTAAAAGAGACATTTATTTCAAAACAGCTGTTGAACATTTTACAGCAAATCTTCCTAATTAAATTCCCTAATCAGGAAAAGAAAACTGAAAACAATTACACAATTCCCTTATGATAATAACAGCAATAAATAACTTTACATAACCTTCCATTTACACAAAAACTATTAACAGAAGAAAGTGTGAGTGGAAATATAATATTTTTCAATAGGCATGAAACTTTAGGTTATAACAGAAACACATTGTTGATTAGGAGTTATACCCAATTCATTTGGACCAAAAGCAAACTAATATATATTTTGGATTATTCTTGTAGTTTTCTTCATCATAAATATACTTTTAATAATGCTAAACTTGACATTAAAAAACAAATATTATGTTGAAAAAAAGTCTATACAACTAGAGTTTCCTCGTTTTTACATATAACATAATAAATAAGTACAATTATTTTTTTCTAATTCCATTTACAAAGCAATTACAAAAAATCCTTAGTGTTTAGCCCTGTATAAGTCTAAAATCTTATTCATAATAGTCTTAAAAAGGCTTAAATTTGACTTGAAACCTGCAGAAACTCTGGTCATCTCATCTCACCTTTTGGCCCAAAGAGGGCAGCATAGCATGGCTTGTGGCAGTACGGTTTCCCATCATGCTGTTAGGATGTAAAACAAAAGAAAAAACTCAGTCATTCCAGGCTCATATTCACCCAATAATTGAAAGAGTGTTTGTTGGCTTAAATTTTGAATTTAACCTGCTGTCACCCTAAATGTCTGAAGGCCACAGACTGTGCATATCTTGGCACTCACTCCCTGATATCTCTCAGAAGAGTCTATGTTGATGGAAAAGGACACCCAATACGTCCTGTGTGTGTCCTTGTGTGTGCACATAGAAGGATGTGAAAAACAGAACATACTTCAATGGCAGCTGCTCCCAGAGCCCTTTGGTCAGGGCTAATGGCGGGAAAGGGTTGCCATGGGAACCGTCAGACGGCAACTGTGTGACCGTTACAGCTGCGCAGGGCAGGATAAGGGAGCGGAAGGGCCAGAGAACAGTGGCCTTATGCCAGCAAAGAAATATGCGAGGGGGGAAAAAAGTGTGTAATGAGCCCCACATTCCAACAAAGCAGACACCTTCCTACCTCAATTCCCATGACTGGAAAACTTGATGATGTTGTAACATGTCAATACTTCTAAAAAAGGCAAAGTTCAGACAGGATCTTAAAGTGGTTGCCCAGCCAGACCACGAAGAAGGGAATTTTAGGACATCCCAAGTTTAGACATATTCATACAGGCCGGTCAGCTTTACAAGTTTTTCCCAAAGTTTAAATGCCATGAACATCACAAACGCATTAAATCCAACGACTAGTTCTTCTGTGGATCCTCTGCTTTAGCCAGGCGTTTAGACTGATGGAAGAAAGTTCAAACTGCTTTACAGCTTTCACTATACGAAGAGCCCAAAAGAGCCAACCTGACCTGACCAACATGTGAAGATCAATGTCCCTAGAATGTCAGACTGACATGCAATCAATAAACGATTTATTCAAGATCAGCCATCAATGGTCTACCTGTGAACTTCATATCATTTAGAAAACACAGAGTTTAACTGATTATAATAAGCATCACAGTTGTAGACATAACCGTTTTCTTCCATAATGGGGGTTGGAGTCACAGCAGCTTAGCCCCCAAGAGGACTGTTTAAGAACACAAATGCACATATCCCAAAATTCCTGTGGATTCAGCCAGTTATATGGGGAAGACACTCTGAAAGTGTTATCTCTGTTGTGTGTTTTATGCATCAGATTTTCGATTTCTTGGTAGTGGCAGACTGAAAAAGCCCCTCTAGAACCTTATGGACCAACCTGAACTAATCACTGGAGGTCAACAGGATCAAACTGCACTAGACACAGCCATATCACCCTGCAGCCCAAGACCGGTCACTCACTGAAGCTAAACAGGGCTGAGCCTGGTCAGTACGTTGGAAGTGGTGTAGGTGAGGCCATTAGAAGGCGCTAAACCTGTGGTCTGTGTGAGTCCTAATGCCCCAGTACAGTGAAGGGGACACTATACTGTTAGCTCTGTCTTTATGATGAGATGTTAAACTGAGGTCCTGACTCTCTGTGGTCATTAAAAATCCCATGGCACTTCTCATAAAGAGCACCCCCCACCCCCATTATCGTGAAGCACTTTGGGTGTATGGCCATAAACAATAAATGCGCTATATGAATACACATTACATTAGAAAGCAGATCACATGAGTTCTCTTCCAATATTAATAAGTCAGGGACAGACAGTATCTGCAGCAATTTGTTTTGCTATTTCTGCACAGAACTTTGTAAAAACTAAATCTGTGGCTTTATGCAGAATGATTTTGAGGATATTGTACTATTGTAATTACATTTAACCCGTGAAATTAGCTTTTTGAGGTTTACAGTACAAATACAATTAGAACCACTTGTTTGGTAAACAAAGCAAGTCACTCATTTAATAGTGAGATCAGTGAGGTTTAGGTCACGTCAGCTGACCAACATCTGATTACTTATTTCTCCATAAATAATTCTCAGTTATGCACCCAATGACCCCTGAAAGCTCTTGCAGTTTTGGGAAAACTCTTGCCATTTTAGTGTGTAATTGTGAATAGTCAGTGGGTGTGATAACTAAGCCAGACACAGCCCAAAGTTCTTTAGCTCCCATTACAGTTCTCACTGTCAACGAGCAGTTCAGCGGCCCACACTTTTCCCAGAATCTTTCACATCATGGTGCATGAATCTTTCTGCCTCTACCAAATACCCTTATTCCCATAAACTCCTTTACCCTGCTAGAATCTATAGTGGACACCAAAGAATGTTCATCTAATCTAAACAGAGTTCTTGTTCAGTCAATGGTCTCGAAGAGAAATGTACACGCCTGATTTACCCATCTTCACAAACTCACCCTCATTCCAGTGCCATGCAACACTTAACAGAAATCTCACCATAGCAACCTGACCTACATCCAGATTTAGGTTGATGTGAGTGTTGACGATGTTAATATGCTTACACAGAGATTAGAGAGTGAGAATTCCTTCTATTTGTGACTCTCTTCCTGGAGTAAATGCCAGACTCAGGTATTTCCTAGTGTTCCCCTTATGGAATACGCGCTCGAGTGTGCGTGATGATTAATGACAACAATTCCTCTGGCCCTAAAACCACATTGCCCTGTCCTTTGCCCTCTGCTGCCATACCAATCTAGCACAGTCGTCACAGTGTGATGTAATAGGATTCTGGAAAGGTCGTGGAGAATTTCATTTGGCTCGTGGTCATGCACACAGGAACACTTGGGACATAAAAAGCAGGCCAGCAAGCTATAAACAAAACACTGAAGATGAGCATCATGAGACCTGATAACACACAGCTAGCCAATATAATGAAAAACAAGATATGCTTGTTAAGTTTTGCCATAAGTTTTGTGATTGTTCACAATGCCTTTGTATTTTCACGGTTGTATTTACCACTTAAAATGTATGCCAATGCCACCCAACACGCATTTCTACTGGCGCTGGACTCCTCACATCAATCCTCTGATGCAAACTCAGATTGTCATAAAGTCAATACTCAGCTGTTGGAGTTTGAGTTTCTCCTACTAGACTGGAGAGAGGTAGTGTGTGATCTCTGTTTTACTCACCTCGGCATGGCCACCTGCCGTCAGGGTCTTACTGCAGCGCTCGCACTTCAGACAGAACTTGTGCCAATCCTTCCCCAGTGATGACACTTTCTCAGCTGGGGGATGAGAAAAAAAAGACAAATATAGATTTTTATACTTGCACTTCATAAAAAAAGAAAAGCGTTTGAACATGGAAAACCCATTGCCTCATGCTAGGTAATTGTTAGGTCAGAGATATCCAAGATTGCTCCTGGAGAGCCACTGACATGCATGGAGGGTTAGCTTCAACCTAAAGTAAATAAACCTGAACTAAGTTTTTAAGGTCTTCTGACAAACTAAAAACCTGTAGGCAAGTGTGTTGAGCTAAAATCTGCAGAATGTTGACCTACCAGGAGCAGAACCGGACACCCCCTTGTTAGGTTTTTATGGTTGGCACAGCAATGCTAGGTGTAAACCAAAGTAACTAGGCATTGTTTTGGCATGTTCTAATTTACAGTATCTCTAAAAGCACAAATGGTTAAAATGTAGGACTAGGTGTTTTTTTTAATTCTCAATAATTGCCTTTGTCAACACCACTTACATTCTGACTCCTTTGCTATCTCACATGCTGTAGGTGTTACATATGATTTCTTTATTGTTTACTGTTATTTAGAAAGGTCACATAATACCATTTCAAAAGTTCACACTTAGCTGATGATCGATTATAAAGCGTGTTTGGCATGCTGTCCCGAGAGAGAGCCCGGAGTTTATTAGATCCACGAGCCCGGGGCTCTCTCCCGTTAGTAAGGCATGAGGGGAGTTTGAGCTCAGGTAGGTCTCGAGAACTCCCCTGCTTTTTATATGGCTAATGGCAATTAGGAATTGCTGACTAAGAGCTCATCAATGGTGCTAATTTGCTTTGGTCATTTCACCTATGTCGCATGTCTTTGAACTGTGGGAGAAAACTGGAGAACCTGAGGGAAACCCATGCGAGTATAGGGAGAACCTGTAAACTCTAAACAGAAATGTCTACTGGCCAAGTAAGGATTTGAATCAATGACATTCTTGCTGTGAGGCAACAGTGCTAATCACTTGGCCACCATGCCACCCAAGGAAAAGGAGAGAGGAACAGGGGTGGACAGGGAATTATTTAAGACAAAGATAACTAAGGTAACAAACTCTGACTATTTATAGTCGGTTAGGAATCATCCAATTGGTGAGTCCTGCCTTGCTAATGCAGGACCAGCTGTGGTCAATCACAAGCACCTGATCCTCTGAAAATTAGTTTATAAATAAACTTCACTTGTCCTGACTACATAAACTTTTAATTTCTAAAATATATTATAATTTAATAAAAAATAAGTACCTAATCAACAAATTATAGGACTCCATTCATCAATATACTCTTAATTTGTTCCTCAGAAACATACTATACTGAAATCATGACATGTTCTTAAACAGCAGAATGGTTTGCAAAGGTTCCAGGTTGAAAGTGTCCTTAATTGAAACTGCCAGTTTTTCCAAATTAGCATAGAGGAGAGTTGTGATGTTAAATAGATCAATGTGCAAATCATATTTCGTTAACAGAAACTATATATTTTATTGAACATGCAAATGAATAATGACTTAATCTGCAATAATTGATCATTCTGGGTAAAACATCATCACACACATGTGTACAACTGGTCTGGAGTGTTCGCAGATGTCACAATCTTTGTGAAAAGTACACAAATGGGGTTAAAGAACAAATTTGTTCTTTAGAACGGTGAGTGAATGAGGCACAAAGTGAATTCAAGATGCATTCTCTAAGTCCAACAATAGTGAAGCTGCCAGTATTGGACCTTCCCATAATACACATGCCAAAAACTTTAAATATGGGAGATTTTGATTGCAGTTTGACACCCCAAGTTTCCCTTTCACTCAAATCTTGATGCCTGCACCTCCTGATTAATTATGAATGCACCATGGAAACTTCCTATCTGAGAATCCAAGATCCTGAGAGGGTAACCAAAGTATGCATTGCATTTCCTCAAGAGGTTAAAAACAAAGAGACTCCTCTCTGTCATAAGACGATGAAGGCAACAGTGTGCTAGTTACTGCATAACTTTATTGATTTGCAGTTTACAAATGCAGTCTTGCTTAATGTTCTGAGGAAGTGATATAGTTTGTGCATTTTCCTTTTGACAATCAATGTGAGACTGTATTACCCCCCCCAAAAATGAAGAAGACCTGCCAATGGTGAGGGGTCACAGTGGTTCATAGCAGGGATGTGTTGACATACAACACAAGGAAATGCAGTGGCAGAGACTAATTACAGCCGCAAAGCTACGTCCAGTACAGAGACCCACTTCTTTATTTCCCCTTCGGTCCTGTTTCTTCAGGAGGTCTCAAGAGACATCCCCAGTCCTAATATTACTCTTTCCATTTATATACCTCACACTCAAAACAATGCATAACACAGGCCTGCTGGGACAACTCTCTTACTCTGGAGGAAGCACCTTTGCTTATCAAAACGGCACAATCAGCTAGAGAACAATCCATTTCCTTCTGCTCTCCCCTACTTCCTTGCTTTCCAGCTTGAAGAAGTATTGTTTTCGTTTTGTCAGTTTTGGAGCCCTTTTAGTTTGTCTCCCAGGGTATCTAGAGGTCAGTACAGCAGAAATCAGTTTCACAACCAGATGAGGAGAATTTATATTGCTTAATTAAGGAAAGACTGTTATGCCACTGAGACACAACTATAATCAAACACGGAGGCGAAGGAACGATTTTAGGTGTGTGGGCATAAATGTTTAAAAAGTATGACAATCTTTAGGGATGAATGTTTAAACAGTTGGGCATAACTACATTTTTAAATGTTAGGAAAGGTGTTCTCTGCTTTCTCAAACAAAAACACAATGCAGGGGTACTGTTGATGCTTGTCAAGGGCGAAGCTATGGTTGTATGGAAGCTATGTTGGTGTAGATTTTAAAGCATAGTTACATGGTTATGGGCTTTAAATGGTTGCTTACTGACACAAATAGTAAAGAGTCTACCCTCTTCAGCTCTTGTCATTACCAGTGTCAAGATGTTCTGCTCGTTGGATCCAAACAAAGAATTCAGTGAGAGCTAGAAAAGATTAACCAAAATGGAATTTTTGTCATGGCAGTATAGATGGTATAACTAAAGTGAGAATCCCATGGAAATGCAATCCAAGCTGAGCAAAACCATGCCAAACCCTATCATCCCACATAATATATAATGGCTTTTAAATCTTTTTATATTTTATTCTTTCATTCATTTTCTTTTCAATTTACTCCCTTTATAAACAAGGGGTAACCACAGCGGAATGAGCCGCCAATTCACCCAGCATACATTTATGCAGGGGATTCTCTTCCAGCTGTGACCCATTATTAGGGAAACACCCATATACTCTCAGGCTGTGTTTACACTGTGTTTTCATTTTAAAACGCACAAGTTTTGCTACAGTTATGCCATCCATCCACACTATGCCGGAGTTTTCAAGCGGCAAAAATGGAGCATTTTGGAAATGCTGGAGAGGCCGTTTTCATTCTAAAATGCTGCTGCTCCGTCTCAGTGTGGATGGGGGAAAACGGAGACATCTAAAAATGGAGGCAGGGCTGCAGACATTCACCTCTCTGATTGGGCCTTTACCTCATTATATTAGGTAGCCTACACACAGTTCTGTCCTGCATCCTCTCCTTGTAACTTCAGACTACATAAATTTGATATGAAAAAACAGACTTCCAAACATGTTCGTAAATCTCCAAAGGGGACCGTGTACTTTATAAGCTCATTCTAATCACCCAGGCTATGTTGTTTAACTTTCTCAACAATAAAATGAAAACATGATTTAAAGAACTGCTATTTTCATTTTGATATTAACAACCTAACAGAGTGCTGCATTTATTAGCGTCATCTTCACTGTATTGGATATTTTATAACAAAACTAAAACATTAATGCCTCCTTTCATTTTCATTGAAAATACAAAACAGACCCTCTCCTTAGCTGATTATTCATTCATTCATTTTCTTGTTGGCGTAGTCCCTTTATTAATCTGGGGTCGCCACAGCGGAATGAACCGGCAACTTATCCAGCACATTTTTACACAGCGGATGCCCTTCCAGCCGCAACCCATCTCTGGGAAACATACACCACGGATAATTCAGCCGACCCTGTACCACGTACCACGTCTGTACCACGTCTTTGGACTGTGGGGGAAACTGGAGCACCTTTGAGGACACCCACGCGAACGCAGGGAGAATATGCAAACTCCACACAGAAACGCCAACTGAGTCAAGCCGAGCTGTGCCGCCCTTTTGCTGAATATCAGTTTTAATAATCATTAATGGCCATTATAAAAATATAAATGTACAATAAGTTTATACATTATAGGAAATAAAGGCAAGTGATCAGTTAGCATGCAAAATGTACATGGTTACATTAATTATTAACTTATCTTTGCAATCAGTGAGACAAATTACAAATTTGCCCATGTTATGATCAGCCAGGTGATACAATAAACTAAGGCAACATGATCGTTCTCCTAACTGTGGTTTCTCCTTACTGTGGGGGAAACCAGAGCCCCCAGAGTAAACCCATGCCAACATGGGGAGACCATGCAAACTCCACCGGGAAATGCCAACTGACCCAGCCGAGACTCGAACCAGCAACCATCTTGCCATGAGATGACAGCGCTAACGACTGCGCCACCATGCCATCTTTTACATTTTATTGTAATTTAAATAAACTTTAATACAACTGCCTTTATCCCAAGGAACATTCAATCCTGCTCCTGGATGGCCACTGTCTGGACAATTTTAGCTCCAATGAAGACCTTAATTAGTTGGTTAAGCTATGTTTAATTACAGAAAAAGCTCAACTCTGCAGGAAAGTGGCCCTCTGGGAAAAGGCCCTGTTTACCCAGACACATGATTTTACATCTCTGAAATAATGCAGAATGGTTTCATGCAGAAATGTAACATACGACGATTAGCTTTGCAGAAAAAAAAGAAAAGAAAATGTGACCAGTTCTATAAACGCAGCCCTATTAGTAACACAGGCATCATATCCAAATGAATTATTATCCCACACTGGAGAGACATAAAGACCCAGACAGCATAAATCGTCAGTATTAAT